TTGATGCCCAATCCCTTTAGTGATGCCAGGGATTCGATAGTTGTAACGTACAACTCTTTTAATGACTTGGAGTCGTCATTAACTGTGTTATAATTTAGGAAGCGGTTCAATACCGTGCTAGCGACGTCTCTGTGATAGTTGTATGAATCAATCAGAATTTCCCAGGGGCTCACATAATTTTTTTCCTTTAGATCGATATGTCGGATCAATCTTTCTGCCTCTCCAGTTACGGTTGTTTTTATATACAACATCTTTCATGTATCATACATGAGCACAGGTCAAAGAACTGGGACCATTTTAGTATGTCCTCATCAAACTTGAGAATGTTGATGCGTGGAAGTTGCACGTCATTATTGTTTGATGTGGCTGATTTTGCCAATGCTCTTTGTACCTCTTTTTCCAGGGTCAGGTAGGCTTCCATGTTGTATCCGCCTTCTTCTGGGTTATCATATTCCTCGTGGATAGTAAAATGGACTTCTTGTGCTTGAGTCCATAGTGATTTTATCAAATCACTTGATGTACGTCCTCCCGCCTCTGAGAATTGTCTCAGAATGCGTTTAATGGACTCTATTATGGCCTTTTGTCGGCGACATAGTGAAGGCAATTTGCTGTAAGCCTCCGTGAATTGCTGGCTCCGATCATTCGATTGTGGTTCGACATTTTGACCCACTTGTTGCCTCCTTTTCTGAGCTCTCTCACTCTGTCCTGTATCTTTGTTACACTTGTGATTTGTTGTTTAATTGTCATTTTTTGTATTTGACTGTGCCGTCTCGTCCCGTTCCGATATCCACTTGTCATGCCAGCTGATCGAACCGTCAGCTGTTGACCAGTGCACGGAAGCGGGACCCCAGCCCAGTAAGGTCCCAATTATGGTATACTGAAAGCCCCGTTATTGAACAGACGACAACAGGCTGACGGATTGCATTATTCTGGCACCTGAGTAAGCCGAGTCATATCGTACTGAAACGGATGCTGGGCCAATGCTGCAGCTGCCCCCGTCCGGTTAAAACCTTGGCAGGCCTTAGGAAACGCTTGCTCCCATCGCCACCCACCTGGCCGTGCAGGCCCAGTTGACAATGTCCTGGCTAAAACTGATCTGGCGCTGAACCCCAGACCCCATGAAGGCTGGAGTCAACCCTTGCGTGGACCTCACTCTAAAGATAGGCACCCACGGGATCCTGCAAGGTAACTGAACGCATGTAGAGCAATAACGGCCCTAAGGGGGGGACCCTTATTGCATAAAATGAATAAAACACAAACTCAAACCACCAACAAAACCGGAAACAAAGAGGAAGACCAGGAAAGGGCGTTTACCAAGTCGCGTAAAATGACGCGAACACCGCCGACGGGATCTGAGCCGCCCGCAATACTGGAGAACAAGGGCAAACAGGAGCCCGATACTCCAAAAAGATGTAGAGCGTCGGCAAGCCCGGAATCCCCACCGAGGAGGACACCATCGAAAAGGGCGAAGGGCAATGCACCTTTGTGCAGGACGCAGCTCAACAAGTTGGGAAGCATCCTAGACGAACTCATTTACTTGGTAAATGAAAAGAGGCCCATCGTGAGAGCGATCAACCGAGGAATGAAGGACTCATTGGCCCAAATGAAGCATATACAGTTCGCAGTCAGCGAGAAACTGCACGAAGAGGAACAGGCAGGCGCCAGCTGCATGAAATGCCTGGAAAGGAGTCGCGTGGAATGGAAGAAAATTGACGCCACCGACCCACGGAAGGAGGAACAGCCGAAGCCCGACAATCGCCCCGAGCGTTGCCCCGCAGGAAAACGCATGGAGGAAACCAGACCAAGGCTGGCCGAAACACCCCAGAAGAGAGCACGGAAGAAAAGTAGCGCTAAGAGCCCAGAGCGGAAGCGGATTGTGAACCAGCCCAGGAAAGCACAGAGGCTAGATGCACTGGTCGTTAAGTGCAAAGACCAGGAGTCATATGCCGAGATACTCAGGGCGGTGAAGTCCGACAAGGCGATCCTCGAGTACAGAGACTCGGTATCCGCAATTCGACGGACCGCGGCAGGGGAGCTCCTCCTGCAGATGGGGAAGCACGGGGACGGCGCCACGGCAAAACTCTTCAAGGCTGTCCAGACGAAGGTGGGAACTATTGCTGAGGTCAAGGCGATCTCCGAAAAGGTGCTGATTGAGGTCAGGGACATTTCAGAGTGGACAACTCTGAACTCTGGACAACTCGAGCAGAAGTAATCGAAGCCATCTTCGCCAAGATCGACGGAGACTTGCCGACCGAGTCCGTTCCAAAGCTCAGGAAAGCATACCGCGGAACGCTGACTGTGAACATCCTCCTACCCAGAGAAACTGCGGACAAGCTGCTGCATGAGGGCAAAGTTCGCATTGGATGGTCGATATGCCGAATCGGGCAGAAGAACGAACACAGGAGATGCTTCAAATGCCTAGCATTTGGCCATATCGTGGCAAGATGCAGGAGTAGCCACGACGAAACGAGCAACTGTTTCAACTGCGGAGGTACGCAGCACAGCTCGAGGGACTGCAAGCAGATGCCCGCCTGCATCTTTTGCACAAGAGCAGGACTAGAAGGCAAGGCACATGGCTCCCTAAGTAGGGCTTTCCCTACAATAATGAGCAAAATTAAGTTCCTGCAGCTTAATTTGAACCACTGCAGAGCGGCACAGGACCTGCTCATGCAGACAGTGAGAGAAGAGGACGTCGACATCTTGAGCGACCCACACCTAGCGATGCAAACAGACGTATGGATGCAAAATGCAAATACAACTTACGCAGCAGCGATCTGGAGCTGTGGAACCCCGCCACAAGGCTTAAGCGCCCGTCATTTGTAAGTTGGGTATGTCAGAGCAAAGATTGCGGGCATCCACATATACAGCTGCCCCGAGCATACAACTGGAAGAGTTCGCGAACATACTCGAAGACCTAGCAGAAGATGCACGCAGTCGTTCCCCAGTGATCATTGCTGGCGACTTCAACGCATGGGCTACCGAGTGGGGAAGCACAAGGACAAACGCACGCGGAAGCGTCCTACTTGACGTGTTCGCGACCCTGAGCGTGGTGCTCCTGAATAAAGGAAGTACACAAACATACGCAAAGGGTGACCGTGGATCGGTAATCGACGTCGCATTTGCCAGCCCCCAACTTGCACGGTGTGCCACCTGGAAAGTCGCAAGTGTATATACGCAAAGTGACCACCGGGCAATAACATGCAGTATCGACGACGGACCCACCAGACGGACCACAACCATAAGGCGCACAGCTTGGAAAACGGAGGACATGGACACCCAGTGCCTGCTCCTCATGTTCCGGTAAAGCAGCGAAAGTATACACGGAAATGCAGAGCAGCAGGCAAAATCGCAAGGTACAGCAATGGAAATTGCCTGCGACGCCGCCGTGGTAAAAAAGCAAATGGGAGGAAGGAAGCAAAAGCTAGTGCACTGGTGGTCGCAGGAAATAGCGGATATGCGGAGAGGGAGCCACGCAGCAAGACGCTGCTACCAGAGGACCATGAAACGGGCAAGGCGGAGACCACAAGATCCCCAAGCAGCCCAGGAAGCGGCAGAAGCGCACTCCATCTACCACCAACAACGGGCACATCTCACCAAGGAGATCAAACGCAGCAAAGCAAACTGCTGGAAGGACCTCTGCAAGGAGGCAGACCTGCAGCCTTTTGGTCTAGCATACAAGGTGGTGATGGGCAAGCTGGCGCGCAAGGTAATGCCCACCTGTCCGGAATTATTGTCCAGAATCGTGGATGCACTGTTCCCCACACAACAGGAACTAGCCTACGTGCCCAGACACCGGGAGATCCCCACACCACCACAGATCGGTGCGGAAGAGCTTCTAAATGCGGCTAAGAGCATAAAGACCGGCAAAGCGCCAGGGCCCGACGGTATAACCGGAAGCGATAGCGAAGACTTTTAGCCAATGCCTGCAAGAGAAAGTTTTCCCCACGGGCTGGAAGCTCCAGAGGCTCGTGCTTCTACCAAAGACTGGGAAGGACCCCGAAGACCCGGCTGGATACAGGCCTCTGTGCATGATCAGCGTAACGGAGAAGCTGCACGAGCGAATCATCGCAAATCGGATAGAAGCGGAAGTCGACAGATTCGGCTTTAGGAAGAGGAGAAGCACCACCGACGCGATCAGAGCAGTGGTGGGTAAAGCCCGCGAAGCCATAGCTGGGAAGAGATGGCACGGTGGCATCAAGAAGTACTGCCTGGTAACTACACTAGACGTAAAAAATGACTTCAACTCTGCAAGGTGGCCAAGCATCATCGCCGCCCTCTCCAGAATTGGTGTATCTGAGTAGGTGAGCCTAGTAGTTAGCTATTTTAAAAACAGAGTGTTGCTTTTCGACACCTCGACGGGACAAAAACGACGGCCAGTTACAGGAGGCGTTCCACAGGGGTCTGTTCTCGGCCCGCTTCTGTGGAACTTCATGTACGATGGCATCCTACGACTGGACACACCAGTCGGCTGCAGCATCATTGGCTTCGCAGACGACATCGCGGTAGTAGCGATACATAAAACCCTGGCAGAAGTAGAGGAAAACACGAACGAGACAGTCAGACGAGTGATGTGCTGGCTCCAGGAAAACGCCTCAGCCTATGCGCACAAAACCAAATCGGTCCTGATTAGCACCAGGAAAAAGGTAGAGACAGCCAGAGTGGTTTTTGGAACAGACGAAATCGAGACGTCCCCGGCTATCAAGTACCTGGGAGTCTTTCTGGACCACAGGCTTAGCTTCAAGCAGCACCTGGAAGCAGCCGGAGTCAAAGCCGGCAGGGCAGCAAGCGCGCTATCCGGCATAATGGCCAATATCGGCGGTCCAAGACAGAGGAGCAGACTGCTCATCTGCTCTGTCGTCAGAGCCATCATTATGTACGCTGCTCAAATATGGGTACCAGCTATGGAGCTCCCAACGTACAGCCGCACCTGCAAAGCGGCCTACTGAAGATGTGCACTGAGAGTCCTTAGTGCGTACCGAACCGTCTCCGAAGATGCGGCCCTAGTATAGACCGGCATGGCGCCAATTGACCTTCTCGCCGCTGGAACCATCATCGAAGACCATGCCATCCGCGAACCGGAGACCCAACGTAGATGGCAAGAGCGATGGCGTAACATAACGGCATATGGACTAGACGCATAGTCCCGGACATAGGGCCCTGGGTGAGTAGAACTTTTGGTGAGACTAACTTTTATCTAACGCAGCTTTTTACAGGACATGGGTGCTTTAAATTCTACCTACATAGAATAAATGCGAGTCGGATCCGTTTTGCACGCACTGTGCACGGACCATAGAAGACGCTGAACATGTATTTTTTGTCTGTCCAAGATTCTCTGCTGATCGGGAAGAGCTAAACCTAGACATTGGGAGTCCATTTATAGTCAATGACTTAATGGATATCCTACTTAGCTCGCAAAACAATTGGGATGCCATGAGCACCTACGCTGCAGAGGTCATCCAATCCTTGCGTCGCGCTGAAAGACAGCGCAATCGAAATTCAAATCCTAGATAGGATCTAGTGACGGCTTTCATGCCATCTCCCCCTCGTGAAGTGCTGCGAGAGTGATACGGAGAGTAGGGGGGTTTTTAGTGGGTGAGGTACTTCCAAGTCCCACACTTATCGGCTTTCAATGCTTTTCCCTCCTATACATACAAAAAAAAAAAAAGCACTTGATGCCAGATTTAGCTTGTCCATGATTTCTGTAAAGTTCGCAACGAATGTTTTTAGTGTTTTACGTAAGTCCTCACGAAATTTAACATAATGATCGGTTTTGTATGCTTTCGATATCTTGGTGTCGATGTCGTTAAATCGATTCCATGCATCCTCGAGAGCCGCCTTTTTTTTTAAGGACATTATATTTTGCTTCCTTTCTGGAGAGTCTTTTTTGAAGTTCCTAATTATCTTCGAAATTTCATCTCCAATTTCTTGCTGCTCACTTAATGCCTCTGTGGCGGCAGCGTGTTCCTCCTTGTGGGTATCCATTTCACCTCTTACTTATACTTTGGCCCGTTGGGAGTATTTTATTCGCTTTGCAGCTGGATACGCTCCTATTCGCAACCGATGTTGGTCAAAGTAAAAGTACAGATGACGTACTAAATGGAGGTTTTGCGTTGGTGAAACGCACTTGTGATCTTGATATTATTAATCGTTGATCTTGTTGGCTGATGATGTGAAAGTGACAGATCTGCCAAATTGTTCTACTTATTGGTAGGAGATTTTACCGTAAGTATGTGGCTTGCTGTCAGTTTGTGTTGAAGAGTCCTGGTGACTTCCTGCGTAGAATTCGGGGCGAATTCACCAAGAGCGAGAGAGAGCTTTCTTGCGCTCCCGTTATAGTTAAGGGCGTATTTTACACTAGACTTCAAAATTTAACAAAAATATAAAACGTATCGTCGTGACGCGACAGTATTTGTGGTAAAAGTGGATGTGTGCAACACAGAGAAGGAAACGTTTCCGACCCCATAAAGCATATATATTCTTGATCAGCATCAATAGCCGAGTCGATATAGCCATGTCCGTCTGTCTCTATGAGCGCCTAGATCTCAAAGAGCGCCCCCTTCCTCCCCCACAAAGGACGAAAATCTATGGCAAGCATAATTTTAAAGATATGATAAAACCAGAGACCCGCTACTCATTTTCTTTCTCACTCGCACACTCTGCCCCGTTCAGTGCTCGAAAGCCCTCTAGTGGAGAAGATATAGATTCTAAATGGTACATGTAGAATCTACATGTTAGATGTAGAATATACATTGTAGACGTAGATGTAAATAACAGATGTAGCAAAAAAATGTAAACAATTTTTACATTTCTACAAAATAAGCTCAAAATCTACTGACTGAGTACGGGTATAAGAAGAGTCGCGTCGCCAGAAGTGACTCACACGTTCATTATCGTTTCTTTTAAGGAGTACAGACTCTTGAAATACACATCGTCAAAAAGCTCGATGAAACGGTCGAAACCATATACTTTTAACGGCCTATCTTCAGGCGACTATTAAAAAAAACGCATGACAAGCGATGAATATAACATATCTCAACGATGTCGGAGAATGTATGACCAAAACAAAGAAATATCTAAAGAAAGCAGCTTCGTATGAAATGAAGATTAAGTGGATTAAGGTCGATTTTAAGATTGGACCAGAGAAAGAACGGGCAATCCAACAGCTTAAATCCTTTCTTGTAACACGCAAGATCCACACGGAGCAGTTCTATTACAGATGTTCGATTGCAAGCTTCACCCTGTTTATTTCTGGATCAAGAAGACGACGCAAGCTGAGTCTAAGCAACATTGTTACACACTCGAGGTCAAATCTGCATATCTGGCATTGAAAAAGTTTAGACATTATTTGCTGGGAATAAGATTTAAGCTGGTCACGGACTGTATCGCGCTAAAGCAGACAAAGAGTAAGCTTGACATACCAAGAGAAGTGGCGCATTGGGTGCTTCATTTGCAGGACTCCGACTTCAAAATGGAACATTGAGCGGAAGACAAAATGAAGCATGTGGACATTCTAAGTTGTTATCCTCAAGTCTACGTCATTACATCAGAGATATCATCACGTTTGATGGGATAAAAGCAATTGTTCGAGTTCTACAAGTTCATACCTTGGACCGTATGAGATCAGATCGTCAGCGTTAAACGTAACGGCTGATACGAAGTGAAGAAAGCAGCCCCGCACGTCGTATATCAAGCTGTGAAAGTTAGTCGAAAAAAATGAGGAGCTGTTGTCATCTGGGACGGGATGGCCAAATGTAAGAAGGCTGGGTCAAGTACAGAAGCCCGGCCCCCCCACCATAAATAAATAAATAAATAAGAAGTTTAGAGGTAAACTTCCAAACAACTATGTACAAACCAACTTAAACTATCACTTATCCATCAATAAACATACACCTACATACATATATATTCTCCCGCACTTTCTTTCCTTTGCTTTCGTCATCACCCTCTCGCGTTCTAATCGAAGCCTAGCACTGGGGCAAGGGCAATTCGGACCGTCTGCCCTTAAACTTAGTCTTGCTCGTGCAGTAACTTCTCGCACATTGCCTTGTGCGATCCAACTTACTCGACGTGAACTCTCTCTATCGATATTACATACGTATCTATTGTTCGGCTGCTATAATATAACACAATAAACTATATGTATTAACCTGAACAATCGGTGAATTTCTCTAAGCAAATAGCAAAACTACGCTACTGAACAAGCTCAGCAGCTCAATAATGTCAGCTAAAGATAAATATGTTCACATTATATTATATTTTTTTTACAGTTTTATTAAACATTACAGAATTGAAAATGGAGACAGCAAGTTTCAGCTGAGAAACATTAGAAATCTTGCATATGTGAGTGCTGTTCAAAGACAAGAAGAAACCCCCAAAAAAGATTTTTCAGAGCTATTTGGGGATGACAGTATTGACAACGGAGATTTAACTGGTTATGCGCTTAAAGGAGCTTACAATTTAAGCAATGTATGTAAATGTACATTCTTTTAAGAAGTGTCAAAAACCAAATCTTTTTTTTTAGTATCGTCCTCATGCAGGTATACTGGCAAGTGGGACCCCAATAGATACATTTGGTTCCCATATTACACAAATTAACAAAAATGGTAAGTTTTATTCAAAAATGGAGGTACGTGTGTATATAATTCTAGCCCTCGCGCACACTTTAGCTGAAAGCGGATCTAAGATAAAGAAGCTTTCAAAAGTATTCGACGAGAGTTCTAGAGTGGATAGCCACGTTTGTTCAATGTTCGAATAAAGTAAAAAGTATCCATGGATAATTATCCATAATAATTATGTTTGAGCGAAAAAAATTAAACTCAAAAATAATGATTAAACTTTGAGTTTTATTTTTTCGCTCAAATGTAAAACTTAAAGTTAAATAATGAACATATCATGGGGAGCTGAGAAAAAATTGATATATATATCTGTTTGAGATGCCAAGCTTTTCGGGGTTGGCCCCGGCCCGCGCGCCCCCCCGCCCCCCCCTCCGCGCTGCTGCCCCCGCCCCCGCGCCCGTTTGGCACCTATATTTATCCAAATCAGTTAAAGACTTTGATTTAAACGTTATAATGTTTATTTATACCGGCGGCTAGCTGAAGCCAATTGCTCGCTCTTTTGCCCAGCCAGATAAATGTTCACAAGCGGGGGTTCAGTATGCAACCTATGCGGCGAGAGATTAGCATAGAACTACTTGGGCCACGACGGCCGATCAATGCAAGAGCCGACGCAGCAGGTGCAGAGCGTCCTTTAACAGGGAGAGCGCAGCAGCACTGCCGAACGCTGGGGACATACATAAGCTTAGGTTTCGATACTCTAATACAACTAGTTACAGCTACATTTAAAATTGTGATAGACGCTTAAGTAGCCGCTGGCCCGAACATACTCCCCCCGTTGGAAGCTCGCCTTTCAACTGACTTCTCAAGGGGCAGCAAACACAGCCGAGTAACGGCCCTCCTGATGGTTCCTGAAGCCGTCTTCAAATCAGCCACGCGGCCTACTCCATCCTTGCCTTTGACGACGTCGACCACTCTGGCCAGTGGCCAACGCATTGGAGGAAGATTCTCATCCTTCACCAAGACGACATCGTTGACGCAGAGGTTTTTCGCAGGCGTACGCCACTTCGAGCGCTCTTGCAAAAGAGTCAGATACTCTTCGCGCCAACGCCTCCAGAATGTCTGCTGCAGTTGAGTGACCCGCTGCCAACCATCCAGACGGTTGAAGTTGAGCTTCGTTAGGTCAGGCTCGAGAATTGACTGATGCGGGCCTCCCAAAAGCAGATGAGCAGGCGTCAACACATCCAAGTCATCAGCGAGAGCAAAGGGCGAGAATTAACAATTGCCGCGATCTGGCAGATCAAGGTGCGGAGCTCGTCGAAGCTAAGGATGGATGGCCCAACTGAGCGGTACAGGTGATACTTTGCGGACTTCACGGCCGCTTCCCACAATCCGCCAAAGTGCGGAGAGCGCGGGGGGATGAAATGCCAGTCGATGGTGTCAGCCAAGCAGGATTCATGGACTTCCTTCATGTGCGAGTCGCTCAGGAAAAGCTTCTTCAGCTCCAGAAGCTCATTCTTAGCGCCAACGAAATTTGTAGCATTTTCCGACCAAATATGACTTGGCCTTCCTCGAGTGGACGTAAAACGTTTCAGTGCGCCTAGGAACGATGCGGTGGTCAGATCTTTAACAAGCTCCATGTGTATGGCCTTAGATGTGAAGCAAATAAACACGCTTATGTAGCACTTGATCGGAGGCCTCGTGCGGATTTCTGATCGGTAGAAAAAGGGTCCACAATAGTCCACTCCAGTTACTTCGAAGGCCCGCGATCCTTCCAGACGCTCCTTAGGCAAGTCCCCCATAATGTGCTCAACCATGCGCGGCCTCGTCCTGAAGCATCTTACACACTTGCTAACCGCTTTCGAGACGGCTTTGATTCCTCCAATAGGCCAATATTCTAATCGAATTTTAGCAAGCAAGGCGCGAGGTCCGGCATGGAGGTTCCGTTGATGATAATAGCTTATCATTGCAGATGTTACGGGATGTCCCTTGGGCAAAATAAGCGGGTGCTGAGCATTAAACGGGAGCGATGAGTTGCCGAGACGACCTCCAACTCGAAGTAAACCTGACGGATGGATGAACGGAGATAGCGAACTGATGGAGCTAGACTTCCTGACTTGCCCATTGCGTCTAATCTCCTTTATATCCGACCACAAACTTGCCAGCTGAACGTGTCGAACAAGAAGATGCGTTCCTTGCTGTATGTCAGAAACCGTGAGTCCAGGATGCCTAAGACGATGAACGAATTTATGCATGTAGGCGAATGTGCGCTGCATGCCAAAGAAAGAATTAGCAAATTTGCATCCGGACGTGAGATCGGCATGTGGAGACGCGATCAGCAATACACGCTTTCGAAGCTCAATGGTCGGAGTTTTAGAAACGGCAGATACAGGCCACTCATCCTTAGAACCTAACAAAAACGAGGGGCCGTGAAACCACAGCTCTGACTGGATGAGGTAGCTGGGAAGCGAGCCTCTGGAGGATATCAGCGGGATTCAACAATGTGGGAACATAGCGCCATTCCATGCCTTGCGTCAACTCCTGAATTGTTGCCACTCGATTTGCCACGAAAACCTGAAATTTGGCTGGCTCATCCCGAATCCAAGATAACGCCGTAGACGAATCCGACCAGCAGTAAAACTGACCTGGGAAAATTCCCGTCTCCTTTAAGCTGCGCATAACCTTCGCAAGCAAATGGGCTCCACTCAATTCCAGCTTTGGAATCGACAATGATTTTAGTGGCGCCACTTGAGACTTTGAGCACAAAACATTACTCGACGACTCCCCTTGCCTGGACACGACATATATGCAAGCACCATATGCTTCCATGCTGGCATCACAAAATCCATGAACCTCTACAATTGTGCTGGAATGATGGACAACGCGAGGAAAGGAAATGCGAGAGATGCTTGCCAAACTGTTTCTCAGGTCAATCCAAGTTGAGTGCAGCGCTGTCGGTAGGCTTTCATCCCAGTCCAAATGTTCTCTCCAAAGCTGCTGAAGAAAGATCTTGCACCTGACAATAAAAGGATTAATCAATCCAAGAGGGTCGTAGAAACGCGCAATAGTTGACAAAACCGACCGCTTGGAGGGCCTTGAATTCGAGTCCAGCGCGGACAAGGCAAACAGCAGCTGATCCGACGCAGGGTCCCAAGCTAAACCAAGAGTTTTGGTAATGTCGCTTCCATCATGAAACCGTAGAAATTTCTCCACGTCGTCCTCCGGAATTCCATCAAGCACCTCCTGGTTACTCGAGCACCATTTTCTAAGCTTAAAGTTACCGCAAGACAGTAGACTTGAAGTTTGGCGCATCTTTTCCATGACCTCTGCGACCGAGTTGCCGCATGAGATGAGATCATCAACATAGAACTCCTGTTGCAGAGCAGCTGAGCCAAGAGGGTAGGGATTACCCTCGTCGATGGCCAGCTGGTGCATTGCGCGGACCGCTAAAAACGATGCAGCCCTCGTACCGTATGTGACGGTGTCTAATGTGTAGACCAGAACCTCGGACTGGATGGAATCTCGCCATAGGATACACTGGAGAAAATTGTCGGGCGGGGATACCTTTACGCAGCGGTACATTTTACAAATGTCACCAGTGAGAGCGACGGGATATGTGCGGAACCGGATCAGTATGTTAAACAATGCTGGCTGAATAACAGGACCTGTCATCATCACATCATTTAAGGAGCATCCAGTTGATGTAGCTGCAGAGCCATCGAAAACGACACGGAGCTTTGTCGTGGTACTATCCTCCTTTATAACGCAGTGATGAGGCAGAAAATACTTGCAGAGGCTACGTGAGTCAGGATGGACTTTGGACATATGCTTTAAATCAGTATACTCCTTCATAAAAGCTGAGTAACGCTCCTTGAGCGCGGGATTACGATCCAGTTTTCGCTTCGAGCTGAGAAATCGTCGATACGCCTGAGTATAGGACTCTCCCAAGTGATCAGCATCATGCTTTAAAGGCAGTCGAACAGAGTACTCCCCTGATAGCAGCCGTGAAAAATGGCTTACGAAATGCGCCTCACAATCCGCTTCTTCCTTTGTACTCAAGCTAGCCTCCGCACAATTCTCAACTTCCCAAAACATACGAAGAGTTCGATCCAACCTTGCATTCATTCTATCGTTAGATAAATCCGGAGAATTTTGGGTTGCCAAAAGCGACGAGCTTGATACCCTCTGTCCACCACCAGATACGATCCACCCAAGCCGGGTCTTCTGCAAAAGAGGCAATCCATCTATGAGCTTGATTTGCCCTACGCAGAGAAGGTCATAGAATATGCTCACGCCAATGAGGAGATCTACTCGCTGAGGATTAAAGAATGCGGGATCGGCAAGCTGAATGTTGGAGGGAATGTTCCAATCGGCTACATTAACTGCCAGACTTGGTTGGCTATCTGTGATTGTGGGTGCGATGAGAGCAGTGAGTGTGGTCGAATAGTCCGAAGTGCGAGACTGCATGCAAATGCTGACGGTGGATCCCTCAGTGGACACGCTAGTATCGCCCAGACCAGAAACAAGGGCAGACGATTGAGTTGTCCTAAGCTGAAGCTGCTGGGCGAACCTAGAGGTAACGAGATGAAGCTGAGATCCTGAATCTAGAATAGCGCGACAAGGAACCAAAACGCCAGATCGATTCTTCACCAAAACAACAGCTGTGGCCAGCAGCACAATATCGGAGTGGAGACCTTTGGCAGCAAGAGAGGTAGACGCATGAGACGGCACACTGCTGGCAGAATCCTGAACTGGCGTAATAGCTCCTGGTTGTACTGCTCGTTCTGGAGGAGAACCAGCTGGGGAGCTTTGCGCTATAGATGAGTCGAAGTGCAACAAGGTATGATGCCTCCTTCCGCAAACTCTACACTGGCCACCTGTGCATGCACGAGTCCGATGACCCGATTTTAAGCAGTTAAAACACAGTGACAGCTTCTTCACTTCTTTGTGACGCAGAAAAGGAGATAAATTTGTGAAGATGCTGCACGAGTATATTCCGTGGCCCGCTGAATGGCAGAAAGGGCATCCAGACGGGTCGGCGGAAGAGTTAGAGGCAACAAAGGTTTTCTTAAGGTGTGTAGACTGGCTTTTTCCCACCTGAGCGCTACCAGCGTGTGTCGCTATAGCGTATTGCACGTTCTCCATCTTCTGTTATCGCTTCTCCAGGAAATCGTAGAATTCCCCAGCTGTGGGTATCCTGTCCGATGACGCAGTCTCTTCCCATTTGGTTTGGGTCTTCTCATCTAGCTTTTGCAGCAGCATGTGGATTATCATGCATCCAGATATCTCCTCAGCACTTCCTAATGTCTGCAGGGCGCGCGTATGCAAGTTGACTGCGTCCGAAAACTCCCGAAGCCATTTAGCAGAATGCGAATCTACCTTCTTGAGCCCAAGAATCTCCTTGATGTGTGCCTGGAAAACAAGTCGTTTATTATTAAAACGTCTGCTAAGTATATCCAGAGCCACACGATAATTGGCACTGGAGAGCTCCAACGATCGAACCGAATCCAGGGCCGCATCCGAGAGACATGAGCGAAGATGTTATAACTTCTCGATTTCACTGAGATCTGCATCCCCTTCGATGACCGAATTGAACATGGCAATAAAATCCGCATATTCCCCATAGCCACCGGAGAAGCTAGGTAGCTTCAGCTCAGGAAGCCGCTGCTTGTGAGCCATGATGATGGTATGACCTCCAGAGCTATTTGGCATGCTAGTGGAATGAGCAGCTACGCGCAAATGTCCTAGTTCGAGAGCCGCCAGCAGCTCGGCTTTCAAAGAAATGAAGAGCGTATCGAACGTTTCACGCAGCTCACTTCCAATCTCGTCTTCATCCAGTGATTCCAACTCATTATGGGACTTGTTGAACTCCTCACGCATTTCAGCCAACATATCGAGGCGCACATCTATATCAGCCGCACTTAAATTGTCGATTTTATTCCCCGAGAATGACTGGCCAAGACGCTGCAGCCGATCATGCAGAGACTGAACTTTACGCTTGTAAAGCCTCAGCCTTTTTTCCTCCATCGCAATATTTCCGCCCGCACCTGCATTCGGCTCTTTGTCCATGCCAACCGGTGTAATACAACGAAACAACGGAAAATGTAAGACCGCTTAAGCGACGGCGAAAGAACGGGAGCGAGAATAGAAGACACGTAAAGTCAAGGGCCGCGGCTGCAGCGGCGCAGAGCAAGAGAGAATCGGCGATTAAGCAACGGAATATTAGACGGCTGCAGTCGCACTGAACTTGCACTTTAACTGTTCTTATTTGCACAAAATGTATTTGTTGGTCGTTAATCGGCACAGCAACGAATATCTTATTCGATTTTTATAGTTTTTAAACGAAACGCGATTAAAAATTGTAGTTAAATCACGTCGGGGTCACCATTGTTTGAGATGCCAAGCTTTTTTGGCACCTATATTTATCCAAATCAGTTAAAGACTTTGATTTAAACGTTATAATGTTTATTTAGACCGGCGGCTAGCTGAAGCCAATTGCTCGCTCTTTTGCCCAGCCAGATAAAGGTTCACAAGCGGGGGTTCAGTATGCAACCTATGCGGCGAGAGATTAGCATAGAACTACTTGGGCCACGACGGCCGATCAATGCAAGAGCCGACGCAGCAGGTGCAGAGCGCCCTTTAACAGGGAGAGCGCAGCAGCACTGCCGAACGCTGGGGACATACATAAGCTTAGGTTTCGATACTCTTATTCAACTAGTTACAGCTACATTTAAAATTGTGATAGACGCTTAAGTAGCCGCTGGCCCGAACAATATCATTACTAATTAAGTCAAAAGGAACGCATTAAACATGTTTTTCAATTTAAACAAAAAATTTCTTATAATTTTATGAAAATATGTATAAATTTTTAAGATGTTGAGGTTGAGCCATGATGGCCTTGTAGTTGTGCTTCTTAACTATATAAAGCAAAAGAAGATATAATATATAGGCCCAATTGGCATATATTTTTTTTTCATATAAATAAAAAATATGGAGTGTGTCTGGTTTCCCGGCCTCATATTCCCCAATAAATTCCTCAAAATAGCCAGTGGAGCAAATTAACGTAATCTCACCTTTGTTTTCTATTTGCATTGCCCACTGCATATATATATATTGTAACCGATTATATTTACTCACGGCAGCGGCCGTTCTTTCGCCTCTTTATATCTCCTTCTTCGTTTGCTACTGCAGCTGCAGCATCTATACTGTTCTATCGCATTCTCTCTCTCTATCTATCGCTCGTGCTCGGCTCAGCAGCAGCCGAGCTTCTATCGCTTTTTTCGTTCTCTCTCTCGCTTGCATTAGGGAACGGGCAATTCGGTCCGCCTGCCCTCTTCTAGTCTTTAATTGATCGTCATCATTATCGCACTCACGTTCTACTGTCTTGATCAATCACTCACTTCTCTCGCATATTGAACAGACCCTGCGTCTTCAATTCTCGCTTTGATTTGATCAACCGGTACCCCTCGCTTTATTTCGCTACACCTACGCACCCCATATTTCGCCTACTTAACAAATAAACTGTACACACATAAAGTATATTGAATCGCTCGACTTCTTAATTTAATCTAAATTCAACAGCTAGTGAAAAAGCTCGCTAGCTCAACATTTGGTGACCCCGACGTGATTTGTGCAATAAACAATTCGGTAGTGCAAATTACAAACTACAATTTAATATCGAAATTACCCTCAAGATCCGTTCGTTCGTTTGGTTTCACTTGCCTGCTGTCTCAACCCGTGTCATCGACCACATAGGTGCACACAAGCTCATAGAGACAGCCCATGCATATAGGCATAGCTGTCGGCAGTCTTTCCCGTATATTTTGCGTGTTGCTCTTTTCGGTCATCTTCCCGCTAGAAACGTTTCTAACTCTGCCCTTGCTATGGGAACCGATGCTGGAAACGACATTGCAGTAGCCGCAGCTAAAAACAGGGTGACTTTCCTGAGACTGAAAGTACCTTCATTAATAAAAAAATTGGAAAGGATGAAGGCTATTTTGGAGAGTGAGATATCGCTGCGTGATTATTTTACGCTAGTTGTTTCGTCATGTCGTCGTCTTAGTCAATGTTTTATGTTAAGATTATTTTTGAATTGTTTTGAAGTCTAGTGTAAGTAGGTTAGGGCAAGGCGGGAGCGCAATAAAAGCTCGCTCTTTCGCTCAAGGCGAATTCGCCCCACTTTGCCCCCGTAGGTTAGTTAGGCATAGAATGAATTGTAATGAATTTTTAGAATATAATCGTTGAAATTGAATTCGATCGAGCGCACCTACATTATTTCGTCCCCGCTTTTAATAAATCTTTACGCCACCCACAGTCTTTCGGTTTCGTTAATTAGAAAAACTATTCTAAATTTTCATGGCGCCCCCGGGTGGACGATAAAGAACAAAAATAAAGGCAACAAATAATAATGACAGTGACACAGTGATAGCACAACCAGTGTAACAAAAATACGCCTACATTAGTTATAAATAATATAAATAATTAATTCTATATTATAGAATAAAAAGTATTGTATAGTTGCCCGCGTCGTGTGTGTATCAAATAACAAAAGACTTGCCAAATCCATCGTGTCGGCCGCGCAATACCCTCACGCGCTTGCTAATCGTTGCTGCTACCCTGCTGGTTACCTGCCGCTTCACCATCAGAGACCTATGGCCCCTTGTGATTGCACGGACTGCAAGAGGAAAGTGGCAGCTGGACTTAAAGATCCGAACGCAGAGCCTGAGGTATTTGTGCAAAAAATTGAAAGCTAGAGCCGAAGACATACATAAATACATATATAAATTGTCTTGTGCTGGAAAAATTGCACCTCGCTTTCAATTCTTGGCACAGCCGTATGATATAGTAGAGTTTGATTTGCATGCATTTAATTCAGGGCTCGGCACGGCCCTACCGTGGGTGGGGACAGGCGCTGCTGCTGCGCTGCCGGTACACCGACAGTATAAAAAGCGCGGCGCTCGTTGGCTCGGCAATGCGCTTGGCCTTGTTGTCTCGTTTCACACCAGATACAGAACGAAATGGCAGCAGTTGCTGATCAGCCGTCATCAATGTGAGACCACGCTACGAACTACTGAAATATACACTGAGACAAAAAATGTTCGTGGGAATTGGGAAACAAATTTTTCTTTGTCCAAAATATGGATGGCGATGCGCAATGCACAATGCGATTATGTTGCGTCCGCTTAATTTATATGTCATTGAAAGACATTACAATTTAAACCATATTGATTATAACTTAATAAGGGGGATTAAACTTTTGTTTTCCTTGTAAGTTTCAACACGAAATAATTGCAGCATCAACCACAAATAGATTCGTGCAGTGTAAAGCAAGAAACCGGTTTCGGCGTAGGCATCTTCGTGTTTTAGCTACGCACACAAGCGCACTTCACTGTATGGGTGCCGAGCCCTGATTTAATTTATTAGTGCACATACATACATATATAACACCATATAACACATATGTACAA